AGTGTTTGCAGTTTCACAGAATTTGAATTCATTTCAGCTTCAATTTGTACAGGAAATAATTTCATTTCCTAGAAAGTTGAATAAGGGATACTACAATACAACTAGGAATACCACTATCGCTCCGAACAAAAGCCGTGCAGATTCGATGTTACTGGGATCGAAGACTGCTATGCTGGGCTTTCCAGTTTCGTGCCGCGGCTTCCAATCCGTGCTCAATTATAACACGTAACAAATACTAAATTCAAAAATGCCCCTTACTTTTGCAGGAAAGCAAGCAATATTAGCTGCACTACAGTAAATGCCTACCCAATTTCATTTGTTTTTTGATTTCTAGCATATTCGTAGCAACATAATCCAACGAGATCCGAAATTCGGGTCTCAGGTCGAGCGTAGATTATCAACGCGAAATTCTGCTGCTCACTGCTAGCTGAATCTTCCAGTGAATAAAACACTAATAATTTCCGACTTTTTTCAGTATCCTGAAAACATTTCTTTACAATAACTGTTGCTACTGCTGAAAACATAGAGACTATCAGATATGCGGATTATTTAGCACCAATTTTACACGTGCTAAATCCGCAGCTGTATTTGGCCCCTATGTTATATATGGCTACATCAAAAAACTTTATTGCACTCGATTTTCGTAAGTATGTGCTTGTGTGTGCACGCGTCTGTGTGTGTGCGTGTGTGATAACATAATACGAATCCCTAATCTCTCACAATCAAATTGTTTCAAGAATCCTAAAAAAAACAGACAGGGACGTACCGTTGCAGCAAATCGGGCATAGGCAGCAAGATCGGGCCTGATCACGAAATCTGCCTTCTCTAAAAGTCTGCAAAAGAATTTCTTAATCTGAAAAAACTTAGGGTGATTTCTGCACTTTTCTTCACCAGTGCCGAAAATCATCAAAGTCATTGATTTTACAGATTTCTGTGGCGCCCATTTCCCTGAAACTGTAAATTTTCCGAACAATGTCAAATCTTATTCCAATTTCAATTTATTTCTTTTTTCGTGCACTGGAATTATTGCAGAGATACCAGGGGAAATCCACCAATTTTTGACTCATTTCAGCATTTTATATTCCAAAGAAGCAAATAAGGGCCCGGGAGACCTAAGTTGTTACCGATTTTAGGAGGAAGGAAATGCCTTACGATGCAGTAATAGATCTGCCCGTAGATTCGAGTGATGATGGGTGAGGC